ACTAGAGAATTTGTAATGCGTTATAAATGTGTTTTTTTTTTCGTGATACAAAAAACATTGTGATCAGGCATGGAAAATTATTTACATTCATTTCATGCATTCATTTACATTCATTCGCCTATAACTTTTTTTATCAACAGCATTCCGCAGAATGATGTACAGATCTTTAGTAGGTTTTGTTATTAGCTACAACTTTTGTTCATAACTCAAATCTGTATCTCTTATGCATAAGAGCGGGCAGAACTTGTTACTGTTTTTCAGTGAATGTAAAATACATTCACTGAAAAAAAGTAGTGGTTCGTCATGCATAAGAGATAAGGATTTGAAATTTTAACAAAACTTGTAGCTAATAACAAAACCATAAAAAGTTCCATACATCATTTTGCGGAAATCTGTTGATGAAAAAAGTCAAGGGCAAATGAATGTAAATGAATGCACGAAATGAATGCAAATGATTTTCCATGCCTGATTGTGATACACTAGTCTTGTATCACGAAAACCGTAGATAACACTTGTAAAGGGTGATACGGTCAAAATTTGGTCAAGGGAAAACGCGTGTAAATCGGTGAAATCGTTTATTTAAAAAATCAAATTAAATTTCTTTTTCAAGTTCAATTAGTATAAAATTCAGGAAAAATATTCAGTTAGGCTTCCGCTTTTCCAAATCCGAATTGCCGGGCCTTACGCTTGACCCCTGCCATCAGATTTTGTACAGCCACCTTGTCCACCTTCTTCGCCGCAGAAAGCCAGTTTGCCTTGAACTGCTGCTCGCCCTTAGCAGTTTTTTTGGTCTTCTTTAGGTTCCGCTTGACAATAGCCCAGTATTTCTCAATTGGGCGGAGCTCTGGCGTGTTGGGAGGGTTCTTGTCCTTGGGAACCACCTGCACGTTGTTGGCGGCGTACCACTCCATGGCCTTTTTACCGTAATGGCAAGATGCCAAATCCGGCCAAAACAGTACGGAACAACCGTGTTTCTTCAGGAAAGGCAGCAGACGTTTATTCAAACACTCTTTCACGTAAATTTCTTGGTTGACAGTCCCGGAAGCTATGAAAATGCTGCTTTTCAAGCCACAGGTACAGATGGCTTGCCAAACCAGATATTTCTTTGCGAACTTTGACAGTTTCATGTGCTTGAAAACATCTGCTACCTTTCCCCTTCCTTTTGCCGTATAAAACTCCTGTCCCGGAAGCTGCTTGTAGTCGGCTTTGACGTAGGTTTCGTCGTCCATTACCACGCAGTCAAACTTCGTCAGCATCGTCGTGTACAGCCTCCGGGATCGCGCTTTGGCCGTCGTATTTTGTTTATCATCGCGATTTGGAGTCACTACCTTCTTGTAAGTCGATAGTCCGGCTCGTTTTTTGGCTCGATGCACGGTTGTAGACGATACACCCAGCTTATTTGCGGCATCTCTGAGAGAGAGGTTAGGGTTTCGCTTGAAACTACCGGCAACTCTCTTTGTCGTCTCAGCGGCTTCCGGTTTTCGATTTCCCCCCGATCCAGACTTCCTGGCTGTCGACAAACGTTCTTAAACACTTTAATTACATTTGTAACGGTTGATTTGGCAACTTTTAGCGATTTTGCCAACTTTGCGTGCGAGTAGCTCGGATTTTCGCGATGCGCGAGCAAAATTTTGATACGCTGCTCTTCTTGCTTGGACGGCATTTTGACAACTGAAGAGTGAATTCCAAAATCAAAATAGGAGCAAAATTCTACACACACACACCTTCAAAATGAGGGGTGTTCAGGTTTTTTAAATGCAAAATTGAAAGAAATACGTCAAGTTGATATTGACCAAATTTTGACCGTATCACCCTTTAGCCCGCCAGCGTGTCGAGCTTTCCGTTCACAACATCGGTGGTTTAAGCGCCACTCCCAAAGGGAGACCACCCAGCAGATTGCAGGTTTGCCCGGCCTGAGACCTTCCTGAGGATTGGGTCGATGTTTCCCGAATACGGGGAGAATGCTGACTGGCTGCGGGAAAGATTCGGCTGAGAAGATTTCCCGCGAAGTCCCTAAAAATTAAAGGTGCACAAGAACAACAATTTGTCCAGAACAGAAGTCAAGTACGCGGGATTTTCATCATGGGCCTAACCAGAACGATCTATCGTACCAACTGTTAAGATTCGAGAGACGTCAGAGATCAGAATCGGGCTGATCATCCCAGTAAACTACTAAAGCGAACGGAACGACATGGAAACCCCCGAAGACGTTAAAACCTGAGAGCTTTTCCTAATACGCTATCATAAGAAAACCATGTGATTGGGTGTTCAACGGTATTCATTTAGGGGAACATCACAATTGTTGCCCTTTACCTAAGCTCATCTCGACACCAAAGCTCCACTCGAATAAAACAAGCTTTTCCGATCGGTACATTCTCTACATTGCCTAGGCCTTTATCTTACCTTCCCTTTCCTCTCCTTTTTCCTATCCTTTAGTGTGCACTACCAATGCTATTTCCCAGACGTGTGTTCAGCGTGTGTCCTCCTAACCATTCCTGTTTTTCGGATGCTTCGGGTTTTCACTGGTTAACCCGTTCAGTGAGACTCTCACGGACTTTCGGCAGTTACATTTTATTTTGCGCTTGCATCTGGACGCAGGGAACTCATTTTGTATGACAAGTGTAACTCAACATGAGTGGATTTTCTTTGGCGGTGAACACATTTATGAATTTAATTGAAAAAATCGAAACTTCATGCAATTTGATTAAATGAGTATATTGTATAAATATGAATTCTGAACTAACTAAATAAATAACTATCTATATGGAGAGCGTACTTGTTACACACTTTACAATTCCTTAGGTTGAACATAGTATATATCTATGCAATAAATTGACTTTTTATACCTATCTTGCTTCCAAATCAGCTATATGGTAATTGGGAAATTATGTCTTGGGATATTTCAAAAGTTGCTGGAAGGTGATCAGAACCAAAGTCAGTATAGGTAACCAATTGGCTACCAAGTTAACATGAATCAGTTTAAACCAAATCAATAGTTAAGGAGGTCTTTGCTGAAGAAAAGCATGTTGGGCTGCAGAACAATCATCAAACAGAATATTACTATAGCAATTGCTTTGAGGATTATTCTATGAGTGGTGTGATAATGAATAATTTAGACCTCTGATGGGTACGAAAAATGGATGTAATGTAATGTTTTTATTTTATTGTGAACAGAAACATTACTCAGTGTTCACTCGGCTGTCGACAGAAGCAGACCACTCTCGATGTGTGCCACACGATCGTCTGTTTTCTCGGCAGCAACCATTGTGTGGTCCTCCTCATTGTTCTTCATCAGCAGTTCTTTCGGTCGATGCGTCGTCGACTTTGGAAAGCAACCGTTTCGTGATGAGTGTGTGAGTGCTGACCACGTTTTGCGTCCATTGCTGCAATGGACGCGCTCTGACCCTCGTTGGCGTACAACAATTTGCCATACAATGAAACTACTGGATGCGGCTCCAGTTCTGATGGAAGAAGCTTTTTGGATAGCGGAAGATAAAGTGTTTATTGTGTTGTACCTTTTGACTATATTTTTAAGATGTATTGTATAGTGACCAAGAATCCTCGGCTCTGTAAAGTTAATTCGGTTGAGCCTTATCAAATAAATTAATAAACAAAAAAAAAAAGAAACATTACTGGCACATTTTGTGTGTCAATTTTGAAATTTGAATAATTTAAATTGAAACCATCAAAACCCATGAAAACAGCTTCATACGCCTGCAAAACCTCAACCTTCATCGTGACATGAGATTTCATATTTTTGAACTTGATATTTCCACTGCCAACCCATTGCCAATGTAGCTCCACGAGAAGCTCTAATTACATTTGCTCAAATCATCTACACACGTCGGAAAATGGATGCTGGTAAAAACCATTACGTACCGGTCAATTACTCGACTTAAACAGTGCACGGATTGATGGCTCGTACACGATTATCGAACGATCACGATCCCGGTGTAATAACCGGAAGGGTTGCATTTTCCCCAGTCAGCTTTTTTTAATCCCTCCCATTAGCCCATTACCATTACACAGTAGTGGGTTGATGAGTAACGTCGTTTGATCGTTTACAATGTCAATACACACCAGTTAGTTGCCTACAGTTCGTTGGGTGAGCAACTATGTCACCTGGCAGGAATGTATCCGCTACTATCTGATAAGATATTCTACGATTAGAAAAAATAGCCGTCAGAATTTCGCTTTTGGCCGTGAATCACGCCGGTAAAAATAATTTTGTATTGCAAGCCTAACTTGAGCGGGTAAACCCAAAGGTCAGCGACAGTTCACTGACAAAATCGTACCGTGAACTGTGCCGAAAGCAGCACACCCAACCCAAATCATTATCACCGTCGACAATTTACGAAAATCAAAACAAATGAAGAACCCATCGTCGAGTGTAGCAACATGGCCTAGGGACTTCGGGTCGGGTACCGAGAGTCAGTTATCTTATCGCTCTATTTACAGTCTTATCGTTCACGCAATGGTCGAGTTTGCAAACGCTGCGCCATCCTCTCCATGTGAGTATGGAGGCGGCAGTTTAAGTAGAATTGCACAACGAATAGAGTCGCGATCGCAGTCTGCTATATTCAGTTGATCACAGTCAGAACGCACAATCTAATCGATGCTGAGGGGAATCTTTCACAACTGTCAACCCGACGAAATTACTTGTTGAAGGTCAGAAATAACTGCAGTTGTGTGGATGCGAGCGTGCACACTACTGGTAGTGTGCGGGATGATGATGTAAATGGCAGTTTCCAGTGCCCAGTGTTTAGTATTGAAATGGAGGAAAAATTGAGTTGCGCTGTTTGTTCAATGTTGAATTGAGGCTGCATCGATTGTTGCTTGCTGTCGATTCGATTGAACATAGATAGATCGTTTGACACGGTTTGAATTGCATTTTGTTGGGTTGTACCATTGTTGTCACGCAAAATTTTTCAGTGTGTTACGGTGCCGATGCAACATCGATCGATAATCAGTATTTTCTTTCCTTCTCTGTATATTTTCAGAATCAAATGTTGCTGTAGATCAGACCAACTCACAATCGTCAATCCCCGCCGCATTTTTTCTAGCTTTACCATAGTCACAAGCAAGCACCTTGAGTAAACTGTTTCAAAATAATGCACCGAAGTAGGATATACTGGCTTTGGCCAACGGTGGCCCTTTTGGCCTCCATCGCATCATCGTGGATGGCAGTTTCAGCGACACCTGTTCAAACAACGTCACAAGCTGAGGTAAGTGGAACGTGCTTCAAACCTATAGCCTCTCAATTCCTCAGTCTGAGGAAAACAGACAAGAACCGACGAACGAACGGGAAACGTGGGTAGGCATTTGTACAAGTTTTGAATCGCCGGAGATGTGAAGCTGTTAAAATTATGAATCGTGACACAAGCTCTAATTAAGATCAATTGTGATCCTCTTGCTCTCCGGAGCTGAACCGCAGTAAAGGCATTGTATTTGCTGGGTAAAAAGCGACGAATAATCTCACGATGATGATGGTTCTAGTCACGGTTAGGTGCGTTTTATCCAAAAACAAAACAGTTGATCGACCGGGATCTGGTTCTAGTTTGAGAAATTTGATGAATGGTTTCAGAGATATAATTATGCCAACAGTGATCAATTTAATTTGGCTGATCATCCTACCTATCAAGTTTGGTTTGTTTCACTGCAAACAAATGCAGTATACTCAATTTACACTGCGAAATATGACGACCTCATCATCAACTCACCATCCCAACGAAACAAAGCAAATCTGGATTTCCAGCTTGATTACCACTCCTGGTCAATCAATTGTTAAATGAACGTAAACACATCGAAGACACCCCTCGCCCCCTACCCTCTTCCACCAACAGAACAAGAAAAATGAACTCTGTACTCCAACTCCCTTGGGTGGATGAGCACTTAATTAATCTGCAAAGCTCCCGTACTTCTGCATGCAATAATTGTAAACCAACGCGGCACCGCGTTTCATTCTCGGATTCCTTGCACAAATCAAATATTTATATCCACACTCATGCCACTTAATCCATTGACGTTCATTCTACCGAAGCAGGTTCGCAAAACTCTCTTCAAAAATTTCCTCTTTGTTCTTCTTCAACCAAGGAGAGGGGACGGGTGGGAAGAATTTGTTTTCGCTGACTCCCAACTCTTGAGCGCTTTTGTTGTTCTTCCTGATGCTCAACAGGTCGATTTTGCTGCGTAATAATTGACCGTAAAACAATAACAACTCCAGCTCATGGAATTGAAGAAGGTACGTGATTCTCCACCCGGTGGACGAACGCCGCCGCTGCCGCCGATGGTACAAATTTAATTTCGTTCAATTTCAACGCAACAACGAACGGTCGGTCTAGCTTCGGTCTACGACGATCACGCGGGACAAACAAAAAACTTCTCCCAAATTACTTTTATTAAGTAGAACCATTCATCTTGCTTCTGAATCCGAATCACGATGCTCCCCGGAAAGTTGATTGAAGTTAATTACAATTATTAGCTGGATTCGGAGAAAACGCATGATTCCAAGAGGCAACTGGTTCTTTTTTTGGATCTACAATGATTCCCGGTTCTCGCTTGTTCCGCCGAGCAATTACCGACGACGATGAATAAGTTGGCGGAACTGAGAGGGAGGCGTGAACAGTGTTGAAGGGGTGACGAAGGAAATGTCTAGTTAGTGATGTTATCAATGTAAAAGGATGGATACTGACGTATGACTCACCGTCGTGTCGTCAGTCGGCGGGAATGGGGGAGCTCTCTCAGGTGTCGATTATTAGGTCTTCCGCTACGCTGCTCGTAGAGGGAACGGCCCTCGAGAATCAGCGTGAGAGCAATTACTGTAGCTTTATGATCGTCATCATTGCCGTCATCGTCTTCGCTAGGAGAAGATAGCAAAAAATAGCCCTGAACAGGTTTTGTGAGATGCAAAATGTGACCAGTGCCATGGGTGTTCTACCACAGTCACAAGGTCTACTGCCATGTGATTACCGCTGTTGTCACCCGGTAAATGGGCAAGTAAAGCCAATGACAGATTTTTTTTAAATATGAGGGCTCTGCGTATCAGAAACCTTTGCATCGTAATCACATCATCAATTTATTTAATGACATTTCATTTAAAATCCAAATTGAAATATTAGATGATGTGAATCTCTAAAAAGGATGTTACAGAGTGTTTTATGTATTGTGAGTAATTATATGTTTATGTGTTCTGATCAGGGCCACACAAAGTACCTTTCAATTGAAAATCGTCAAGCGACGACGAAGCTGTCAACCATCACTTTCAATTGAAAGTCATTCTATCTTCTCTTCGAACATATTCCCTTCAACATCAACAGAATCACTTTCGATCAGTGTTCATGCTGTTTGTTTTGGCTTGACTCTTGTTCATTTCGTCTTCCATGGTCAAATGAGCTTACTTTCGCATAGAAGCGAAGCTATTCGATCCAAATTCGCGTTGTTTTCCTGACTTCTGTTGATTGTTCACTCGCTTCATTCAAGTGCATGCACAAAAGATCTGCGCACGTGGATGTCGAATTTATCATTGTCGGGTGGTTTGTTTACCCATCAATATGGGTATTTTTGGAATCGGGGTGAAGTCTACAGATTGAAAGTTGATATGCGACGCCATTTTGAAATTTAATATGGCGGCTTCCAGTTTAAGAAAAAATGGGAAATACTGTCAAATATCCATCAATATTGGTATTTTTGGAACCAGGATGCTGTCTAGAGAATAAAAAAATAATCCAAGATGATGGCTTCCAATTTCAGAAAATCAATATAGGAATGTATGGAATCGGCATGTATTTTTGGAATCGGCATGTCATCTAGGGATTGGAAATAGATATGCAACACCATTTTGAAATGCAAGATGGTGGCCTCCGGTTCGAGAAAATGCGGAAAATACTGTCAAATACCCATCAATATGGGTATTTTTGGAATTGGAATGACGTCTAGAGAATAAAAATCGATATCCGTCGGCATTTTGAGATCCAAGATGTCGGATTCGAAGAAAAGTGGGAAATACTGTCGAATACCCATCGATGTGGGTATTTTTTAATCGGGGTCACGTTTGGAGGCTGAAAATCTATATCCTATGTCATTTTGAAATTCAAGCTGGCGGCTTTCGATTCCAGAAAACGTGGAAAATTCTGATACTGTCCCATCAATATGCGTATTGACGGCTAGAGGCTGAAAATTGATATTCGACGGCATTTTGAAATCCAAGTTCAAAGAAAAGTGGGAAATACTGTCAAATACCGATTAATGTGGATATTTTTGCAATCGGAGTGACATCTAGAGGCCAGAAATCGATGTCCAACGCCATCTTGAAATTCAAAATGGTGGCTTCCAATTTCAGAAGAAGTGTCAAATACCCTACAAATGGCGTTGAACATTGATTCAACTTCTACGCGTCGTCTTCGTTCCGAAAAGTGTTTTCTGTAACCCCATGGCCGCCATCTTTTATTCGAAAATGACGTCGAATATCGATTTTTGGCATCTACGCGTCGTCCCCATTCCAAAAATACCCATATCTTAGGGTATTTGACACTTTTCTGAAACCCGATGGCCACCACCTTGGATTCCAATATGGTGTCGGGTATCAATTTTCGGTATCTACGCGTCGTCCCCATTCCAAAAATACCCAGATCTTACGGTATTAGATACTTTTCTGAAACCCGATGACCACCATCTGGATTCCAAAATGGCGTCGAATATCGATTTTTGGCATCTACACATCGTCCCCGTTCCGAAAATACCGATATAGTAGTGTATTTGCGACTCTTCCTGAGCCCGTTGGCAGCCATCTTGGATTCCAGAATGGCCTCGTCAATTTAATTTTCGTTTAATACTACATATAATCCGGATGCCATCCCTATCGGCACCCGATATTGTACGGATACTATATTTTGATGCCTGAAGACGCGACGCGTGACAAATCGAATGAGCCCCGAATTGAAGTGAAAGAGGAAAAAACTAAGGAAGCAGTTTTCGAGTCATTCATTGCGTCAATTGAAACAAGTCTTTGCTTCAAATGAAATGAACTGATGTGCTTGACGAACGAAACAAGCCATAGTCAAGTCATGTTTGACAGGAAGAATGTTCATAGTGACTCGATAACAAGAAACACAATGATATTCACGAAAATGATATTGCTCGTAAAGAATGGATTCTGCGGAAAGTTAATTTTCTTGTCTTTGTTTCGAAAATGCAGAGACCTGGTTCTGATTTTGGAATTGATTACTTTGAGTTGCTCTTTATATCGAACAAGTGCCTTTCTCGCGTAGAACAAAAAAAATGTCGGGTTGCGTACAAGACACGACCGCAAGGTTGACGTAAGCTGTTTAGCGAACTTCTTGATATTGCAGTTTAAGTAACCTATTATTGACGCATTTCGCGCCAAATCGAATTGAGCTGGCAACACCCTCTCAGATTTCAACGAAATTTTCTGGATGTGTAGACTTTGACTAAATAGCCCTTTTTGATACTCAGTTTTTCCAAAATTTAACTAGAGTTACATTTGAGAAGGGCCAAACTTTTTCTGCCTTTTTTCAAAAAAATATTATGGAAGAATGACAACTCATACAAAAATGTATTGTATGGATGACTTTTAGAAAATTGTCCAAGTTATCAAAAAAAAAAAACTCAAAAAAATTCCATTTGAGACCTACACTGAAAAAAATCGAATTTTACAATTTAAAGCCGATTTAAAAAAAATGGCCATCTCTTACCGATAACTTCTTTATTTCAAATTTCTGATGAAAGTCATCTTCTGGAGACTTTTAAAACTCTCTAGGACGCACGTTTTATAGCAAAAGTTGTTGTCTGTATCTCTTCTAATAAAAAAGATATACCTGATTATGGTAAAAAATATAAAAAACTTAAATAGATTTTGAACGAGTTTAAACAATAACATATCTCTATTTTTTCATATTATTGAGAATAATATACGCCCTTTCAAATGCCATAAAAACTTTTTGTTTGTGTGCCCCAACCAGAGATATTAACATTTGAAAAGGGCATATTTTTAGTATAAAAACGTCAATAACTCGTGATCGGGGAGAGATATCGACAAGCTCAGTGCAGCAAAAATGTGCGCCTCCTTAAGAAATAAAAGCTTGAATTTTGCTGAGAAATTTGAAATAAGCAAACTAGAGCAAAACAACTGCTTTTTTAGAGACACCCTAGCTCAATTCAAGTAAATAGCTCTAAATCGGTCAATTTAAGATGTTAAAAATATTTCGAT